TCACCAGGGCCCTCGAGAGGCAGTGCAGCATCCCGGGCAGCACCAGGGCAGAGGCAGTGCAGGGGGGCAGAACAGGCAAAGTACCAGGAAAGCTGACCTGGGATATGGCTGATGAAGAGTTAAAGCATACAGCCATGCTAATGATGGTCACGATTATTTATTAATGATCCGTTGCCATAATTTGCCAATGCATATGTTTCTTTATGGAGCTTTAGGTAACTCTGTCTTGAATCAAGTAGCCAGGGCATAAGCATTAAGTGTCCCTGAGCCCATTGCACTGGTTAAGTGCGTTTTCCAGCCCCTTCCAGCGAAGTATCAGGAGCTGATGGGTGCTGTGGAAATGCCAGCTGGTGAGAACCCCAGGGTGGCTTTAACGAGACAGCTCTTTTCATGGCTTTCATAGAAGAGGCCACATCCAAAGCTGCTCTGGTTATGAAATCCCATCTTTAACTAACCCAGTGCAAATCCACAGGAGAGTGGCCAAGTGACTTCCTCAGCGTCAGACAGCGAGGCAGCGGCAGGGCCAGGAGGAGGACCCACGAGTCCCGCCATCCTCAGCTGCACTTTGATCACACACAGGCAACACCATTCACCTTCCTTGGGGTGGACCATGGCCCAGGCAATGGGAGACATCCCAATAATACAGCTGCCCGGGTTGGGCCCATCAGGCTAAAGCAGCTAATGACATCTTGTCTTACTCTCAGAGGAGGCCTGGACCAAAATACTTGTATTATTTGGAGAAGATGCACTGGACCTCCTGGCTGCCTGTCTCCGAGGCTTCAAGCCGCAGGGCTTGTGTCTGGGCTGGTCAGTCAAATATCAGCCTCGGGCAAAGTAACAGGAGAGCTGACAGGGGATATGGCTGATGAAGAATTCAAGCACAGGGCCATACTAATGATGGTCATGATGATTTCTTAACAACCTGTTGCTGTAATTTGCCAGTGCATGTGTTTCTTTACGGGACGTGTGGCTTGTCCAACAAACCTGGCTTCGTTTTTGGATGAGATTGTTTGGCATAGACTTTTGCAAAACATTTGCCTTGCCCTAGGTGACAGGCTACTTAGAAATGAGCAGGGTGCCGGACCCGCCACGTGGATGGAGACCTGGCTCGCTGGCAGGTACCAGCTGGGAAATAAACACTGCACGGCGAAATCAGATTTCAGCTGGACACTATCCCATGCTGTCCTCCATGAGCTAGAAGTAAAAAAGGGGGGGAAAATCACTGCTGATACATTTGCAGATGACACACAGACTGGTAGAGTGGAAAGGGTATAAAGCAGGAAGACACTGAAATATTTTGGTTTTGGTCCAGTTTGACCCAGAATGATTTCCCCCACCCTCCCACCCCCAGTGTTTTGTGAGAAAACTGAAACCTTTTGATTGGGGGTTGGCCTAAAAGCATGGGTTTTATTTATTAACTGTTCAGTTTGGCCAGAGAACCAAGATGTTATTTATTTGCACAGCCCTGTCCCCAAGTCCCTCACTTTGCTTCCTCTTAGCTTTGCCAAATCTTCCCAAGCACAGAGCCCTGAAACGAGCAGCACTTTCAAGGGAGGGAGAGGCGCTGGAGGTTGGGGGCAGAGTGGAGGGAGCCCATTGACAGCGATGATGTTGTGCGAAGACGGAGGCAGAGCGTGGCTTTGCTGGGAGAAAGGCTGGGACAACCCTGCCCAGCGCTCTTGGCGTGGGGTTGCTTTGGGCTTCGAACCCTGCTATGCACACATTGCTTCCCTCCCAAGCCTGAGCTGTGACCTCGCAGTGATGGGACGCTGGAACAGGGACCGCCCGAAAGCCAGAGCCAGGAGCAGGAAGGAGTCATTGATCTTTTCCAGCATCGTTCTTTTTATGAGGGTCATTTCCCTGGTGCAAGATGGCCCTCTGCCGGAGAAACCGAGCACCAGCCGGACATTTGAGGATACTCCCCCAGGCAGAGCATCAGCTGAACAAGACTGCACAGGCCTGCAGGTGACAGGGCAGGAAAACCACACGTCTTTCTTTCGTCATCCGGTGCCAGAGACCAGAGAGGCAGCGTCACCTCGCAGCTAGAGGATGCCTCATTTCTATGCCCAGCTCAGCGAGCAAATCACACCCCTGCCTCAGTTTCCCCATGTGCACCATGATACTTGCCTAGGGTCCAGTGGAGATGAGGGGTCCTAATGTATCCAGAAATGCATTCAGATCCTTGGAGGAGAGCTGTTGGGATCCCCTTGCCCCCCATCTGCACAGAAATGTCGCTTACAGAATTCCCCCGCCGCTAAGTCTTGGACGTCGCAGTAGTGTCCTGAGCGGGTCATGGCCACGTGGCCACCCAGCACCTGCCTCTGGTCAGGGTGAAGGCAGGATTTTGTTGGGAACAGCCCGGCAAGGGCTGCCTTGAGCTCATGCTCAGAGCTATGAGGACAGGACTGAGCCTGGCTGGGTCTCGAGTCTCAGAAACGTATGACTTCCCCGGCGTGAGTTAGGTAAAGGCACTAGCCACAGGCGCAGAAGGGAGTGCAGGGAGCGACACCAGCCGGCACAGCCGCTGCTGGTTTGGGGCAGACTGACAGCTGCGGCACACCTGGGAGCCATCAGGGACCTGGCTACAGCTCCTTGATCCCCTGCCTGAGCCCATCACAGCAGCCTGGGGGCTGCTCTAGTTTGCTGCAGGGGGTGATGGTCCCCAAGGGCCAAATACCAGCTGGGGCTTGCCAGAGCCTGTGCGCTCCAGGCACCCCCAACTCCACCCCAGCACCATGGGCTGAAGGGCAGCTGCTTCCCCGGGGTTTTTTGGACAGCTCTGGGAGGAGCCAAGGCATGTGCGTGCGTGTGCAGCTGTGTAAGTTGGTGTGTGCACAGGTGCATAAGTGCGTTCAACTCACCTGCTATTATTAATTCCTCAACACACCTGGGGAAGAGCAGTTTTCTCCAGGGAATAAACCTGCAGCCCTCAAGCACTCGTCTTGACATCTCTTCCCCTTCCGAATGGCTGAGGAGTGGGTGCGATCATCCTGTTTGTGCCCCTAGCTGTGTGTGCAAAAGCAGGTGCTCAGAAAGTGTTGCCACTACCCAAATGCTCACTCAACCCCAAATGAGGAAGGTCTCATTGTTTTGGGAGATTTGTCTCCTGCAAGCTACCTGCAGCGGTGATGCTGCCAGGGACCTGCATAAAATACTGCTGGCGAAGGGGAGAAGCATCAGGCCCAGCATGTCTCCCGTGGGGCCGGTTTAACTACCCAAGCATATTTCTTCCAGCGCCTTGTCAGAGATGAGGGTCACAGAGGACGGACCCAGGCGCTGCGGCCTCTAGCCAGAGCAGCGCGTCTGCCCCTCTCGGAGGAGCCCGAGCGAGGCCCAGCGGCAGACGCCACTGAGTCACTTCTTGCTATTTTAAGCCCGATGCAGCAGAAAAAGCAGAGCAACCCCTATTATTTTATAAGCCGAGGAGAGAGACTGTACAGAAAGCAACAGGCCTCGCCTCCCCGAAGTACAGTGCAAACGAGGAGCTTGCAACCTAACAAAGCTAATCGACCACTGCTGCTCTGGTGCCAGTGGTGTTGGGTGCTGTGCAGGTGCAACTTGTGCGCCAACGAGCTTGCAAAGCATATAGCCCAAAAAGGGACAGAGACACCCACTGAGAAGATGACTTGCCTCCAATTAGTGGCAGGACGGGGAATAGCCCCACCTCACCCCCAACCACCTCTCGCTGTCCCCACCAGCTCACAGCCCCTTGATAAACCAGGTTAGATTCAGATCCAGCCTGACAGAGCGGCTCAGGGGATCGCTGTCTTTTCCATAGCAGGCAGCACATCTCAGGGGCCCGTACCTCCTGTTTACCATCACTCTCCATCCCTCGGGCCGCTATGGAGACTGCTCAGAGGAAAAAAAATGCAGCGTGTAGTTTAGCTTTTCACTGCAAATCGACAGCTGGAAATGGAGGACGCAGGCTTCTCCCTGTGCCCAGCCCATTCTCTGTGGACCATCCATAAGAGCTCTGGGACCACCGGCGATCAAGAGATTACAGCCTGAGCCCTTTGGGGTTGGATCAGAGAAAGGAAGACTGACTGACCGAGGCATGACTGGAGCGGCACCATCCTCCTTAATCTGCCTTCTGCTTAAGGGGAGGGCACACCATGGGCATGGACACTCAGATCCATGCATAAAACCGCACCTGAGCGCCCTGTCCCAGTCTCTCTGGACAGAATGGATTTGGCCGGTCACTAAAGAGACCCCAAGACAGGCAAACAACTCCGTCCTTTGCCCCTAGGCAGACCTTATATTTGTGATGCCCGTCATCTCCCACATGCTGCCTCTGGGCAATGCTGGAGTAGCTTGTGAGCGTTACAGTTTGCCTGCTCGTGGCCAGCCCCAGCTCACAGGGATGATCAGGGGTAGGAGCCAGTTGCAGAATCAGGGCCCTCCGCCTCGAGCTGAGCACCCCGACTTTCACATCCATACTGCTTACAACAGCCCATGGAAAAGCAAAGCTATTTTTTGCCCCGATTCCCATTGCTTCCATCTTAGCACAGGGTGCGAGGTAGGGGGTGCAGTCCTCAGTGTTGCTTTACCCCAGGGGCTGAGATGGCAGCTGGCTCTGGGGTGGGAGGCAGCGTGTGGGCCTCCTCCTATTTAAAACCAAGGCAGCTCGGTGGCAGCCCCTGCCCAGACCAGTGTCGGCAAGGAGCGGATTGGGCCTGCCACTTTCTCTTCCCGCGCAACAAGTGGCCTCCCCTCCCAGCCCTGCGCCGGGGAAGACAAAAGGCCCGTTGTGCATCCCGTGAGCCGTGCGAGAGAGCAGCGAGCGAGAGGGGAGGTGGCTACAGCCATGCGAATCCCCGAGGAGCCCTGACTGGCAGAGACCTGCCTTTATTACAATTTCCCTTCCCCTCCGTGCGCGTGTCTGGCTCTTCTCCGCGCGGTACCCCCCCCCCCCCCCCCCAATGCCATCTGCCTCCTCGCTCTGCGCTGCTCGCTGGGGAAAATTACACGGTTGCCTGCAAACTTCGGGGAGCGAGCGGGTAGCGGGGAGAAGGAAGGGGACGTGCGTGCGGGCAGAGGACAAAAATTAAGAGGGAGAGCTGGTTGTGGGGGGGAGATTGGATTCCTTCCTCAGCACTTCAGGCAGGCGGCAGAGCTGGCGTGGGAACAGATGAGCCCCGGGGAGGAGAGATGAGACCCCATCCCTCCAGGAAGAAGAGAAGAAGCCCCCCGTGATGGGGTCCTGCATGTCCAAAGGTGAGCACCGTGCAGCGTGGGAGGGCGGGCAGGCATCTGGGCATTAATGGGGTGGGCAGTAAATGTGCCCAGCTGGTGATCTGCCCCCCAGATGCGGGGCTGCCCCTCCTGTGCTATTCTAGCCAGCCCCCATGGGGCAGGGGGAAGGCTAGAGGGTGGAAAGGGAGTATTACAGAGACTCTGGCTGTCAGGGGAAGGCAGGTATCGCGTGGCCTTATCTCCTGGGAGTGGCTCACCCGAGGCTGGGCTGGGCAAAGAGGGCAGGGAGGTTTTCCAAAGAGCCGCTCTGCCTTCAGCCCAGGGACGGCCGCTGGGGATTGAGTCCTGCCCAGGGGACATGAGCCCCCTTGCTCCAGCTGCTCATTAACAGGTCAGGAAGAAACTTCCCTGAGGGGCAGGCGATGTTGCCTCCCGGCACGGAGCTGGCCACTTCCAGAGATGGGACATGGGGCTGGGCTCGGTTGGGCTTGGCTGACTTCTCACCTCCCAAACACCAGCCCTCCGGCATCTCACTCCAGGGGAGGCTGCAGACCCTGCTAAGGCAACTCCTGCCTTGCTGTATGCTCCCAGCCAGGCACCCTGCTCCTAACCCCGGAGAAATGACAGCTTGTCAGGCCCCGGGGACAATCACGAGGGCCGATGGCATCACTCCTATCCCCAGAAGGGACATTAGGTGCCAGTTGGGAAGTCTGGAAGAAGCGAGTGACAGGGTCATGAACCCTGTTATTTGCATCGGTGTAAGTCCATGGAGCAACGAGGCTGACACCGGCATATGGTCAATCAGAATTGGGCCCTGAATCTCTCTCTCTCTCACTCCCCAGGGGGGTTTCATGCAGTGAAAAAGCCAGCAGCAAGCTGAGCTTCGGTGGTTAAAGTGGATCGACCGGGGAGTCTGGTCCCACAGACCTGGCCAGTCCCTCTGCTGTATTTATTATAGAGGGTGTTTTGCAAGGGATTTGTAGCAATCATTTCATTTAGCAATGAAATGCAGCCACCACTGGGGACCAGCACAGCATTGTCCATGGGAGCCTATTACCGTCATGCAGCCGGCAGGGAGGGAAATGGAGAAGGGTGTTATGTCCAGCTGAAGCAGCAAGAGGATTGATGGGGGGTGACCCCAGTAGAATTTAACCCACGGGCTTGGCTGAAGCACCTTGGGCTACTAATAATTAGCAATGAAGACTTTGTTTTATGCAACTCCCCAGTGCTAAAGGACTACAGGGGAAGCATCTTAGCCAGGATCAGGGGGAAGCCAATAAGGAGGTTTGGGGGTTTTGCTAGGCGAAAGGAACTGGGATGGGGAGAAGGACAGCGAGGACAATCACCAGGCCTGTCTGACCAGGAAATTCCCCCGGCCCACGGTGATGCCAGCTCCTTCTGCTCCTACCCTTGGTGTGTGAGGACAACTCAGGGACTAGCTCCCTATTTAATGACTGGGTCCTCGAGGCTGCCTGTTGTGCAGGCTGTAGGTATCGGTAGAGGAGGAAAAACTCACTCCACGGCTGCCAACAAACAGCTCTCAGGTCGTACCAAGTTGTCGGTCATGACTGAGTCAACCTGAGTTCAAACTGGAGGCCAAGAAGCCCATTAGAGACACCAGCCCACCCAGAACCAGATTATCAAGCGCACAACACGCAGAAGGGAAAGCAGGTTGTCCACATCTCCAGCACCCGCTGTCCCTTAGTGCACGGCTGGACTGTGACAGCCAGCTGTCACTCACCATGCCGCCGTGAGCAGCACTACCACCTTGACCTTAGACGTGACAGCGGGAGCCAGGCATGCCTCACCTGTCGCTGTAGTCAGCTCCTTTTGTGCTGAAATACTCTCTATCATCACAGCAAACTCAGGAAGAACCAAAGAGCACGTGCCCTGGCCACGTTCCAGGTCTATGCGAGCTCTTCCTCTGCTTTCCAAGCAATTATGGGGCAAATCATTGTTGGCTGTTGGCACGGTGCTTGAACACTAAGGAATAAGGTAGGGCTTTAAATCCTGATGGACCCAGGTCAGAAACCCCCAGATCTTACACCGAGACCCAGGCAGGGATATCAGACAGCTGCACAGCTCGCAGCTAAGTAATGCAGACCAAGGGATGGGGGGCAAGGGATTAGGTAACCTCATCATAGGAGAAAAAGCAAGGATTTAGGAGTAGGGGGAGATTGTGTCTCAGGTCTGAATTGGGCAAAGCATGAATGAAAAGCTTGGGATGGGGGGATCAGCTCCTCCTTACACAACCTCTTCTTTAGCAGTTAGCATTAGGCTACAGCCTGCTCCAGGGTGCGTGCGTGCAACGAGAACTGTGCCCCCACTAACAGCGGGGTGTTATGTTGGCCGTGGCCAGTCGATCCTGTTCCCACCAGGAAGCCCAGGGGTGGGAAATGTTTGCCTATGAATGGGAATATGAATTTCAGCTTGCTGGTGTGAAGTTGTCTTTCTGACCCAGGACCCACCAGCCAAAGATCTGGGCCAGAAACATGGCTTTGTGCAGTGAAATCCTGTCTGAGCTAAAGCCTGTTCACTGTGTGGGGGGAAAGGATGAGGAATGTCACTAGGTTTCATCTCCCCATGGTCAGGTTATTGGCTGAGCTCCTCTGACTGCAATCAGCAGTGACACGGACTCCAATGCAATTATGCTGATTTAGGCCAGCTGAGGATCTAGCCCATTGACTTCCAAGGGGCTGCATTGATTTGCACCTGCTTAAGATCTGGCTCATGGCTTTAAAGAAGGAAAAAAGTGGAGCAGCAAAGCCTAGGGAAAATGAACTCAAAGCAGAATGTTTCTTGAGAAAGGCTGCCCGGCCCGCGACTGCTCTGGGGCTGATGAACAAGGGAGGGGGAGAAGGTTAAGTGCTGCTAATTGTCTTTAGTAGCGGCTTCTAATTTAGCTTGGCAGCACTCCAGAAGGATGGTGAGGGGCTTGGATTATGTGGGCTGAAGGTCTGCCTCTGTAGCCTTGTGCATGCCACCCAATCCATCTGTGCCTCAGTTTCCCCATCTGCGAGAGCAGGATCATAACAGTGGTAGGGGAGGAAGTTTGTTAATATGTGTGAGGCACCAGCCTCTATTGTTTTAAGCAAACAGAAAAGGCAGGGAGGAAAAGCATATGAAATGTACCCTTCCTGCACGCTGTCATCTCGCTCATGTATTTGCGGTAGAAATCTGTGCCTAATTTCAAGGAACGTTATCCGTTTCTCATTCCCTAATTTTGCTTGGTTTGGTTTCTTTTCCCTTGCCAGCTCTTGCGCGTTTTGCTCACTGCGATGCAATCTCCCCCATTTCTTTGGCTCTCCAAGGAAATCTGCACTATCGCTGCTAAAAAGAAATCCACTTAGAGTTTAAGAAAATACAAGCCTTCCTGAGTCGAAGCTGGTGTTACAGAAAGACACCAGCCCCATTTTCCGCTTACGTTTCCATGGGACCCCCCAACCTTGCAGTCTCGCTCAGTGGGTGGCTTTGCACACGCTTGTCATTTCACACACGTCCACCCACAGCGGCGCAGACGGCCCAGACCTGGTACAGTCAGGACCTCTCTGGGGTGGGGAGCGGGATTTCTAAAGTGCTTCCCCTCTGTTTGGAAAGTTCCAGTTTCTCTTTAAACTAGAGCCAGGCAAACTTCAAAGAGTTTGAATATATATATATAAAAAGAGAGGGGAGTTAATGGCAAAACCATTATGTGCTGACAAAACCTGCTTGGAGAAACTGTTTGTATAGAAACAAAGGCTTTGAAATGCCCGAGGTCTGTACCGGATCCCATTGCACATGCTCCCTATAAATATCTGCAGAGAAGATGAATTTTACTCTCCAAAGCCTATTAGTGTCAGCCCGTGGCATCCATCCCTGGATGGAGCTGTGTGAGCCTGGGCAGGAGGTAGCGGTTTATACCTGTGTCTGACTCATCCGCAAGGACCTTTGGTTGCACTTAATAACATCACTGTCTGCAGGGCTTTTAGCTCCGGGGAGGCTGCAGCTCGCCAGGCAGCCGGCGCTTGGCCTGGGAGAGATTAGCTGCTGTGGAGAAGGCTGTGAGATGAGAGAGCTCGAGCAGGCTTGCTTTCTCCAGGGAGGAGCTCCTTGCACGGAGGGAAGGGCACAGCCGTGAGCAGGGGGGGTCTGGGTTGCGTCCCCAGGAGCCAGGCTGATTGTCACATGTACAAGCACCCCAAGAAGAGCCGCTGGGAAAGGGACACGTCTCCTATGAGTCCCTCGCTCCATATTGTGCTTCCCATCAGTGGTTTCTAAGTCAGCGTCATCATTTCCAAAGCCACTTTGAGGGAGATTGGATTGATTCCCAAGAGCTCTTTTTCATCGAAGATATTTTCTAGCCTGGTTTAAAAACCAGTCTGATCTTAGTGCTACTGCATGCACCAGTGGTGGCCTTAGGGTTGTTGGGAGTCATTTGGGCTTAATTTTGATGACTTACGTATCATGGATCTTTTAAATATTCTTTGGGGGAACTAGATAAGTAGTTGAGGGTTAAAATGCACTTCCTTGCAAAAATGTCACCCGCCCAAAATTTGTTGCAAAACTTTGGAGCCGCCTAAAGTGCAGGGCCCTGGGCTGTCTCCTGGGTTGCCCTCCCCTAAGGCCGCTACTGCGTGCACCCAGATGTGGGCGGTGGAAGGAGCCCGGATCTGGTTTCACTGAACTGACTTCATGATGCCTGAACAGGGTGGCCTGTGTGGCCGTTCCTGCCCACTTTGCACAGGTGTAAAAGACTGTGAAAGCAGGAGGATGGCAAATGCCATCTCTGTGGTGTCCCAACCGGGCCGGGCATGGGTCCAACCCACAAATGCAGCTGAAGTGCAGTGTAGACAGGCTCTCAGAGCCCCTCTGACTACTAAAAAGATGAGACACGATCTGGAGCTGTCGGACACAACCAGTGTGGACCCTCATGGAAAATTTTGTGTCAGAGCCAGCATGCACCTGAATGCCAGCTTCTTGCATCTGTGCTGTTACTTCCCGCTGTCAACCAGCCAAGCTAATCAGCCAGGGCCGGCAAACAAATAGCTGCACGGTGGGAGCCAGGACAAAGGGCTTCATGCTGAGGAAGCTTCCACGCTTGAAAGCAGGGCAGGAGAGGGTACAGAGTTAAAAGCAGGGCCCAGCAGGCGAGCAGGGCATGAGAACATGACTTCAGAGGTGGAAACACCTGTGGCTTCTCAGCGGTGGCTCCAGCTCAGTAAATGGAAGCAGAGGGAGTGGGGAGGGAAGAGTTAAAGCCAACATAACCAGCCCTGCAAGGCAAAGTGGTTGCACGCTGGGTTTTTAAAAGGTAGGGAGATTTTGGAGAGCACAAGGCAGGCTTTGAAAGAAAGTGAGTGGGAAACAAAGAGGGAGGCAGGGGGAGGTGTTGGATCTTTAGCAAAGATATTTTTGTTCCCAAGTGTTTCTTTTGCATTGGAATCAAATACCTGTTCAGCAAAGCCAGCTGCACCGATTTCCACAGGCCAAAGAAAAATCACATCCCCTCTCCCCCCACTCAGCACTCCTCTTTTGCTCACGTCATGGCCTTGTCCCAGCCTTCGATCACCCACAGGCAGACTGGGTCGATTTTATTAGACCAGCTAAATAGTTTGCAAAGAACAATTTTTTCCAGCTTTTTAGGTACAAACCCCTTTCTTCAGGCAGAGGGAGAGTACAGCATCCATCCTCCTGGAAAAAAGAAGCGTAGGCCAGACCAGATTTTGAGGTGTAAAATAAGCACAATAAAAAGCAAAGACAATATCCCCAGTCCCTTTCAGGCTGGCTGTGTCCACTGCAGGTTTAAAGACCCCGAAGCTCAATTATGATTCCTGGTGCAGATCACCTGGAAGAGGTGAACCCCAGCACAGGGGGGTTTCCTTTTCACGGCTCTGATGCCACATAATCAGGGAGCACTGAACGCTGCATAGGAGCGAGGAAGCTGGTGTCTGGGGCTCTTCCAGGAAGAGTCTGCATTTAGGATGTGCTGCTTTCTCAGGCCAAATGTGCTACTTCCTCAGCCGCTGGGAGAGGGATTGAGGGCCGTTGGGGATCTCCGGGAAACCTGAGGAATTTTCCTCCTAGGTGAAGGTCCTTTTGCTTGGCTGTGCAAGTCGGAGTTGATGGAGGGGTGCTGGGTGTGTTGCCCAGTTCCTCAGCTGTATACACTGGCCATTCATTTCATTTGCTGTCCCATAGTGCTGAAAGGGCCGGTGCTTCCCATCCGAGGGGGAAGGCACTGCAGGGTCTCAGCAAGCAGGTTGACAGATACACCGTAGGAAGGATCATCTGGTCGGGGATCCTGTCATATCGCGCAGAGCGGAGACGCGGGGCATAAAACCTCAGTCTCGCTCGCAGCACCCTGCAGCGTCGGCGCCGACTGGAAATCGATGTTGGTCAAAATGGTTTGGGGCTGTGCAATGCCACAACTCCCCTTGAAGCGGAAAGGAAAGAGCAGACACCAGGGTAGCCCACCTCTCCCTCTCTCGTCTTCTTCCCTTGCAGAATTCTTCACAAGTGCTCACAAGGAGTATTCTGTCGCCAGCAAACCCAGCCAGCCAGAGAGCTCGCCCGCTGCCCCCCGTGGCAGCCAGCAAGGGCCACCTGCTGCCGCGGAGAAGGCCATCAGCAAGGTAACGAAAGAGCCAGCTGCCGAGGACAAAGATCACACGCGCTGCCTGGAGCAGCCAGGAGGGCACATAACATGTACATGTGCCAGCCTGGGATCCTCCCAGCTAGCCGCCCGCTCCCGTACCAGCCCCTTCTCCCCCAGCACCACGAGAACGCCTCTTGCATCTTCCAAAGGAAATGGTAACTTGTTTGGATCTAGACTGTGGACCCAGAAGAGGTTGGGAACTGGTGCCGCAACCTATTGGAAAAGAGTTATTCTGTGCCCCCCCCCTGCCTGTGCTCTATCCACTAGGCCAGACGGCTGTTTTCACGGTCTTTCGTTCTGCATGCGTCTATACCACGCTGGCCACAGCAGCACAAAGCTCGCTGGGATCTAATTTATTTAGGCTGCCAAGAAGCAAGCTAAATGTGTTGGCGCTGAGCTCCCGGGAGCGGCATGCTGATGCCGTTAGTCGGCGAGCGGTACCCCAGTTACCTAGGTCTATGCTGCAATGTAGTGCATGATGGAGACACCCACAGAAAGCTGGGTTTCTTCCTGTTTGTCAGAGGAGCCCTATTAATAACAAGCTGTCTCCCTCCTAGTCAGACCTTTGGTAGCCCACCCAGGGTAGGTGCCATCTGACGCTTTCACCACGTCGAGTGAGCATGAAAGCATTGTACCCTCCAGCCACCTAATAGAGGCATTACTCATATTCTGTGTGGGCAAGAGGATTTAGGACTCGGGGAGATGACTGCAGTGAGAGGTACCTAGCAGTAAACACCTCTCAGAGGCTGCACCTAGGCAAGGGGCAGAGCAGGGAATCAAACCCACAGCTCTCGTAGCCCAGCAGTGATATAACCCACAGCCCCCTGTCCAGCTTGGAGAGCGTAGACTGGGTGCACCCCAGTAGTAAGCCATCCACTGACAGCATCGCTTTGCTGAACAAGCATCACCTTAAAGGCAGAGATTCGACTTTCCAGCCCTGCCCCTGCCCACATCTGGGCATCCCTCGTGCTGTTCCCCCTGACGGATTCAATCTGATGTTCACGGCCACCTTCAGCCTGCTCTGATTGCTGGCTCTCTCCAGACAGAGCCGGGCAATGAGCAAGATGTGCTGTCAGCTGGAGGGAGAAAGCGCCTGGGAGGTAAACAAGGCGAAAGCAGTGACGCACGGGGCTGGAGCAAGGCCAGGAGCAGGGGAATGGGAAGGAATGAATAAAGAAAATAGGATAAGGAGGAAGGGGAGCATCAGGTGCTGTGTCCAGCCGGGGCAACCTTTGGGGAGACCTGCAAGGTTATCGGCGGGGTGCCTGAGCTAATCATGCACCCCAATCCCAAAGCCCCATCAGTGCACATGGGAGCAGAGCCAGGGAGGAAGGATGGTCAAGAAGTTAGAGCACTAGCTTGTTACCTGGGAGAGCCAGGCCCAAGATGCTACTCTGCCACAGAGATGTTGTGTCACCTTGGGCAAATCACCCAGCCTCAGAGCGGTCCAGTTCTGCCTTCTATAATAGGGGCACTGTGTCTGCGACGGGGGCCATGGATGGGCCCCGTGGTGAGCGTGGGGTTGTCCTGCAGTCCACACCCCATAACCCCACAGCAGCAGTGTCGGTAGAAATGGCCCAGGGGGTCCCTGCCCACTGACTGAGGCAGCCTGCCGTGCTAGCCAGAGGATCATGGCATTGGGTGCAAGGGGGGCAGGAAAAGAGAAGGGGAGTGCCTGGATAGAGGACATGCAATGTAAAATGTTATCTTTCC